CAAAACAAATCCATCAGAGAGATAGCAGGAACATTAGGAGTGGTCAAATCAACAGTTTGGTGCATTCTGAGAAAAAAAGAACGCACTAGTGAGCTCAGCAACATAAAAAGGCCTAGACGTCCACGGAGGACCACAGTTGTGGATGATCAGAGGATCCTCTCCATGGGAAAGAAAAACCCTTTCACAACATCCAGCCAAGGGAAGAACACTCTCCAGGAGGTCACTATCAAAGTCTACAATCAAGAGAAGTCTTCACCAGAGCAAATACAGAGGGTTCACCACAAGGTGCAAACAAGGCCAGATTAGACTTTACCAAAATACATCTAAAAAAGCCAGACCACTTCTGGAAAAGGATTCTTTGGTCATCTCAAATTAAGATCAACCTGTACCACAATGACGGGAAGAAAAAAGTAGAAGGCTTGGAACAGCTCATGATCCAAAGCATACAACTTCATCTGTGAAACATGGAGGAGCAGTGTGATGGCATGAGCATGCATGGCTTCCAGTGGGTTACTGGTGTTTATTGATGACGTGACAGAGGACAGAAGCAACCGGATGAATTCTGAAGTGTATAGAGATATACTCTCTGGCCAGATTCAGCCAAATGGAGCAAAGTTGATTGGGGCAGCGCTTCATAGTACAAATGGACGATGACCCAAAACATACAGCAAACGCAACCCAGGAGTTTTTGAAGTGGATTATTCTGCAATGGCCAAGTCAATCTCCTGATTTCAACCTGATTGAGCATGCATTTCAGTTGCTGAAGACAAAACTAAAGGCAGAAAGACCCATAAACAAACAATAACTGAAGTCAGCTGCAGTGAAGGCCTGGCAAAGCATCACAAAGGAGGAAACCCAGTCTCTGATGTCCATGAGTTCCAGACTTAAGGCAGTCATTGCCTGCAAAGGATTCTCAACAAAATATTAAAAATGAAAATGTTTCTTATGATTATATTTATTTGTCCAATTACATTGTATAGGAATTGGATAGAAAATGGGGGGACTGTGTATAAAAATGGTTGTAATTCCTAAGCTTTTTATGTTATATTTTTGTTCAACCCCTTGAATTAAAGCTTAAAGTCTGCACTTCAATTTCATCTTGATTGTTTCATTTTAATGCTATTCTGGTGGTACAGAGCCAAAATTATTAAAATCATGTTAGTGTCCAAATATATATGGACCTGACTGTATGTTCTTTCTACATATAACACATAGAATTTATTCAAGCCACAAAAACACAATGAAAAATGTCAGGTACACAATCATCCAGCCTCTTTTTGGTAGCTAAAAGCATCAACAAATTATCTCAAATATTAAAATAAAAAATGGACTGATTATGGATAGAAACATACAAAGTGAAGGCGATTTGTAGAGCTTTCAATGCCACAGACTGCAGCTGTCTATATGAAGGCAGCAGACCATAAGGCACCAACAGTCAATATATGTGTATGAGGTTCATTGATTTATACCTGAATGGCCTCCTCCAGTCGGTAGTCCTGAGAGGTCTTAAGGAAGGCGATGACCTGCTGAGGACTGAACTGGCACAGTAGGTCCACTAGGAGCTCATGAAGATCTGGACCCAACTTCAAGACAGTCTGAGGACTCAGACTCTCTCTGGAGCTGTTACAGATAAAGAAAACCATAAATCATGTGAAATGAATGTAGACTAGAGCAGGGGTCTCCAACCTTTTTTTACACCACGGACCGGTTACGTTTGGAAAATATTCTCGCAGACCGGCTGGACGCTGGATTAATATATAATAACAATAATATATGGCTGGCTTAATATATAATAATATATATTAGGCTATTATATAGTATTATAATAGCATTATATAGTGGTTCAACGCATTATATTGTTTTGTTTTTTTTAGTCACACTGATCGGACTATTTTTTCGGATAAGCAAGAAAAAAAATATTTAAAGCAGAGAGAATGACAATGCCGTGAAGGGTTTTTGACATAGGCTAATTTTGTGTGTATGTATAGGCTACGCAACTCGGTATTTCCGCGCTGTCTGAAACACGTCTCTATGCTTGTGCGTGCTTTGATTGTGTGCGAGAACAGCGCGTGAGTAATGAATTGAGCTCTCTTTCGTTTCTTCTTCTTGTGGTTTAAAATTGCTTGTACGTGTAAATTGGCAAATTAATCTGCGAATCACGTGCGTGCCGAACGGTAGGGTCTCATCCGTACGTATTACGGATCAACTGCGATCCGTTTAACTCCTAATATGTGACAGATCAGAGCAATCTTTCATTTACTTATTTAACATGAAATTGTCAAATTGCTACTCCATATCAATCACATACAAAGAAAATACAGAATAATTAGAACAATGATTAACATAAATAAATAACAGAGTGTCATATCTATACACATCTTTCCCAGAACGTTCTTGCGACCCGGTAGCAATTCTTCCAAGGCCCGGTAGTGGGTCACGACCCGGTGGTTGGGGACCTCTGGACTAGAGGAAAGCGTCACAAAACACTATCAGAAAAAAAGTTGTTTTTAATAAACATGATTATTTATTTGCATCATCAGACTATAGCTGTGAGCATTACTGTCCAGACTTACTACACACAGCACATAAGAGCAGCCTGCTCAAGGCAGTCCTTCAACAGTCCTTCAAAGCCAACTTCTGTGAACTGATGTTTAAGACCACTGGCTTGAATATGCCAGAATGTGCCGATTCAAAAGCGTCATCGCGCCGAATTTTCACTTTCAGTGTGAAAAGCCCTTAACAGCTAATAAAATTTCAGATTTGCGTCACAGGAATAAATTATATTTTAAAGTATATTAAAATAGAAAACTCTCATTTTAAATTGCAATAATATTTCACAATATTACAGTTTTTTTTCTGTATTATTGATTAAATAAATGCAGCCTTGATTAGCATAAGAAACTTATTTAAAAACATTACAAATCTGATCCAAAACTATATATAAATATCCTATATACATACTGTCAAATATATAGGTGTTTTAGGCCAAGCCATCCACTCCTAAGACTGTCTGTCTCTCCTGAGGAAAAGTCCCTTTTCACAGAGCTCCAAACGGAAGCCATGCGTCATTTGTGCATCCCCCTCTTGCTCTCTTTCTCTCTCAATCAAGTTATCATGTAGAGTGGTTTTCTCAGACCTCAATCATAGCCAAGCTCTCAAATCAAAGCCCAATCAGCCACCATCAGCTCCTGCTGCAAGAGGCATGTGTGAGAGAGTACATCCTCATATGAGACATACTCTTCTACTCTGGTAAAACTCTGTCATAAAACTGAGGCATATGAGAATAATGATGATATGAAGTGGTCAAAATCATGCAGAACATAAAAATGGCGGATTCTGAAAGTACACAGTTGAACTACAACAAAATAATGCAGAATACTGCTAGGTGTTTTTCTATCCAAGTGACAGCGAACGCGGTTTGTTTTTTAAATACTGGAGAATAGATTAGTAGTATAGATTAAAAAAATAGTTTGCAAAAAAATGCTGTCTTCGTTTAATCACCCTCATGTTGTTCCAAATCTGCATGACCTTCTTTCTATGAAACACAAAATATTTTCAAGAAAGTTTGTGCCCTAACCGTGCAAGTTAATGGGGTCCAAAACATCTTTTTTGACTTTTATTGTAAAGCTAATTGAGTATCAAAGATATTGAGACATATATATTTTTATTCCATAGAACCAAAAATCAATAATTTTTGGAATTATATGAGGATGGGTAAACAATAATAGACTTTTCGTTTTATCGGCAACTATCTCTTCAAGAGAGAATGGGCGTCAATGTGTTGTAGCAACTTTGTTACACCATGTAATGTAGCAACTTTGCATATTTCTGTCACAGAACCAAATCTCTCATGGCTGGTAAAGTACATTTTTGTGTCATAGCAAACTTATCCATGTATACTAATATACAGAATATCATACATGTTGGTGAATTGCCAAAGGGAAAAAAAAGAAAAACACGTCAGTCTGGATAAAGAATGGCCATTAATTATTTAATCTTTTTTTTACCCCACATGCTGGCTTCGGAGTCGTTTTTCCTCATTTATGATCAAATTTTGATTTGAAATGTAAATCGTTCACATATTGTCCTAAATCAATGATTCAACCAAACCATTTTTCAGAAGTCATATTTCTAAAGCTGTGCTAAATACTTTCCAATTACACTTTACAGAGAATTTGTTTTATCATGTTCTAATTTCGCCTTGCCAAGAGGAAGTAAATCTTAAGTAAACAGTGGCACAGCTTCTGCCGCTCTACTGCCAGAAGTCACAGATGAGTTATTTTTACAGTGAAGTCTGACTGCTGTGTCTGACTTCATCACTACAAGGAGGTTTTTATTTATACAAACTACCCTAAATGAACTCAACTATGTAGTCCAAGATGAGGCTCTGTGACAAATTGAGATGGGAGGTTGCTAAGGACAAGAAGATTGTGAGGTGAAACGCGCTTTGAGGCTTGGCCTGAGAGGAGACAGCGGTCACACGGGGAGGACAGAGTAAATTCAGATGTTCTTCCATAGATGAGTTTTGGCCCTGAGGTGCCATGTGTCCCATAAAGGGCACCACAGGTCAGCTACAGCAAAAGCAGCGTTGTAGCTCTGAGGGTCTGCCATGGCGTGGAAATGAGCAAGCACTGATGTGTGACTATGTCTGAAACTAAAACAACTGTGAATCTGGGCCGAGGTGAATGTGTAACTATCCAAATATAGATTTTTTTAAACATTTTCAGTAATAATGTAAGAAACACAGAGGGTGTTGCTACGCACTTGCAAAGGTGTTCTGGATGGGTGTTAGCAAGCTTCTTACTGGCTTAAGTTAAAGTTGCAGTGAAACAGAATGAATGACAAATCTTTTCTTCTATTTTGTGAAACACAAAGTACAACGAAATCAAAAAGTAGGGTGGAAACTTTTTTTTCCCCATCAGTTGATATGCGGGCATTGCACTCAGAAAGGGAGGCAGACATAAACGCTAGCTTTCAATTGATTTAAGAAAGGGGTTTACGAGGACTAAATGATTTCAGCAGTCCAGCAGAGATTTTTTTTTTCTTCAAAAAATTACAGTTTTACCTCAATAAACTTGCAATTTGCTTATTTTTGATAGAAAGGCAGTTGTTATAGTAGTTTTGTTTAGGTTAAGAGACCTAGAATATGGTCATGCGAAATAAAGCATTAATATGTGCTTTTCCAAGTACTAATATACAGCCAACATGCTAGTATTAAGCATGTTAATAAGCAACTAGTTAATACTGAATAGTGTTCCCTAATCTAAACTGGGTCACATTAAAGGTTCAATTCTCGCTATTAACAAATAATTAGGTACGACTTTTGCCTCAATAAACTTCTAATTTGCTGCTTATTAATAGTTAGTAAGGTAGTTGTTAAGTTTAGGTATTGGGTGGGATTAGGGATGTAGAATATGGTCATGTAGAATATGTGATTTATAATATTACTAATAAACAGCCAATATGTTATTAATAGGCATGCTAATAAGCAACTAGTTAATACTGAGAATTGGTCCCTAAACTACAGTGTTACCCTTAATTGTTTCCCCCCAAAAAACCTATAATAAAATGATATTGTATTTAAATCAAAAGTGATTAAAAAAAAAAAAAATAATTAGGTACGACTTTTGCCTCAATAAACTTCTAATTTGCTGCTTATTAATAGTTAGTAAGGTAGTTGTTAAGTTTAGGTATTGGGTGGGATTAGGGATGTAGAATATGGTCATGTAGAATATGTGATTTATAATATTACTAATAAACAGCCAATATGTTATTAATAGGCATGCTAATAAGCAACTAGTTAATACTGAGAATTGGTCCCTAAACTACAGTGTTACCCTTAATTGTTTCCCCCAAAAAAACCTATAATAAAATGATATTGTATTTAAATCAAAAGTGATAAAAAAAAAAATGTGAAAACTAAATTAAACTTTTTAGAAGCCTACAAATGAATTTAAGCATCACAACTAATTTTGTGAGTTACTAATGTACTAATGTACAGTAAGAAAAACACTTTTTTTGAGATTTGCTTATTAATCAAATACATTTTTACAGTGTACAAGTAAAAATATAGAAAATGATGTACAAGTAAAAACAAATCTGATATCGGCTGATTCATGATGTGCTAGCAACGTATCATGCATTCCTAACATCACGGTCTTTAGAGGTTATGGGATTTTTCTACAGATGTTATTGTCCACCAGAAACATTTTCTTCAGATTAAAACTAATGAATCGCTTTTCTCCACCAGTCATCCAATCAGAAAATCTCACAGTAAAATGCATACATTGCAAGAAGGTCTGATCTCTCTGTTATCCTCAGTTCAGCTGGGTAAAGACCACTGTACTGACAGACTGTCCTCCTCTCGGTTTTATAACTACAGGCTGTCAACAGCAGCATGTACAAAACTCACTACAGATACTGCTCTTAATCCTTGAGTCCTGTTTGCCAAGGGCAGCAGAAGAAAGACACAAACTAAAATGTGGGGACTGGGCGAAATGGACTTCAGGACAATATACAGTGTACAAGCGAATGAAATACTAGGTCTAGATAAATGTATGTGCGTGAGAGGTCATATGAGAAAAGAGATGAAGGAACAATGCTTAAGACAGAAATAGATGGTGACAGAGATGGCTGTTATTTTGACGGAGGACTGCACCTGCTCACTAATAAATGCTTTACATGAGCAATATTGTTGTCTGATTAATATTAATGACAAAATAGACAGTGCAGGTCTGCTTAGCTACATTTACACTGCAAGCCCTAATGTATAGATTACATATTTTGAAACAAATAAGATGCAGCCTCTTTACCGCAAGGCATATCAGCCCTAGTCCTCTGGTATTTTCAATAAGAACATTTATATGCAAAGTGTGATATAATTCAGACTGAAACAATAACACCCAGATGCACAACAATAATATATACTGAATGGTCTCTACTTCTAGATCCCTCACAGTCTAGTTCTCATGTGTGTCTCATTAACAGATGTAGGGACAAAAATATATACAATACCATTCAAAAGTTTTTATGTTTTAGAAAGAAGTCTCTTCTGCTTACCAAGGCTGAATTTATTTGAACAAAAATATAGTAAAGAAAGCAATATTGTGAAATATTATTAAACTTTAAAATGACAGTTTCCTGTTTGAATATATTGACAAATTAAATGTATTACTGAGATGCAAAGTTGAATTTTCAACAACCATCCAGTTGGGTAAGATTAAAAAATAAATAAATAAAAAGATATTAATACTTTTAGGCAACAGGTTCAAATAGATGCCTTTTTGTTCTTTCTATTCATCAAAGAATTCTAAAAAATATATAATTTTTTCCACAAAAATATTAAGCAGCATAAACTCTTTTAAACATCGATAATAATAAGAACCATTATGGAGAACCAATAATAATTGATAATATTTGAGCAACATATAAGAATGATTTCTTAAGGATCATGTGACACTGAAGACTGGAGTAATTGCTGCTGAAAATTTAATTTTGTACAACAACAATAAATTCTATTTTAAAATCTATTACAACAGAAAAATATTTCAACTTTTTACTGTATTTTTAATCAAATAAATGCAGCCTTGACATTCAGAAAACACTTATTTCAAAAATACATAAAAATCATATTTCAAATAATTATGCAAAAATTTTGGTAGGGTCGTTTTAAGGGCTCATATGATGCGATTTAAATTTTTCCTTTCTCTTTGGAGTGTTACAAGCTCTTGGTGCATAAAGAAGATCTGTAAAGTTGCAAAGACAAAAGTCTCAAATCCAAAGAGATATTCTTTATAAAAGTTAAGAGTCAGCCACACCTACCTAAAACGGCTCGTTCTAACACGCCCCCACATATCTACGCCGCCCAAATGTTCACACAAAGAAATAAGGCGTAACTTTTATTCTCGCTGTAGTATTGTTGTTGCTGCTGCCATGTCGTGAAGGTGCTGTGTGCTTCGTTGTGAAAGCAAAACTACTTTGCTTGGCCTTACAAAAGAGGACGATATCAGCTTCGTCATGCCTGGAGCTGATCCGTGCTGGTTGCTGAGGAAATACTACAACTTTGCGCTGTGGATCACCGGATCGGCTTTCACCGTGGATGAAGCGGAGTCCAGCCCAGGGTCGTCACATGTGGTTGACGCTGTGTTTCATTGTGAAAGCCAAAATTCTTTGTTTGGCCTTCCAAAAATAGACACGACTAGAAGTGGTTAAGTTGTATTTACAACACTGTTCCAGAACAGTTCAACCCAAATATTCAGATCTGTGCAGCACATTTTATGGAGGACCGTTTCCTCATCCTGGGAGAGCAGACTACAATGCCGGCTGTTTATTATATTTAAATATATTATATATACGTTTTTTATATTTAAAGAGTTTTTATATTTTATATATTTAAAGCGAGTTTTTGGGGCAGTGTAGAGTAGGGCTTGTTGTTTGTCATTTCTCCGATCACAAATGCAGACATGGTTTTATGTTTACGCAGCGCGATGCAACGCAACGCTTAAAAAGACAGTAAAAGTCATTATAATCCATACTTATGTTCGATGAGCTTTGTAAAAATCGACACGTTTCAGAAAGGCGGGGCATAGAGGAGAAACAATAATGTACAGTATGTGGAAAATAATGTTTTTTGAACCTTAAACCGCATAAACACATTTCATTACACTAAATACACTAAATAATATTATTTTTAGCACCATCATATGACCCCTTTAAGTAAATTATTTTTATGGCCAGTATTTACAGTTGACCTGCCTTTTTATAGGTTTGCGTGGATGGTAAGGAAACCAAAAGAGAATGAATGGTAAAAAGTGATAGTGTTTCTCTGCTTGCCCTGGAGAGAGATCTATGAGGTGTGAAACTTTAACTGCACACCATTACACATTACAAAAAACAGCACAACACAGACAGCACAGCAGGCACGTAAAATGAACCAAAACTGCAGAAGTGGGTGCTGCTATTATTACCTGGGGTTCAGGAGGCACTTCAGAAACTGGAACGCCAAACAGTCGTCCTACAGACACAGAGAGTTCAACATCAAAATATAGTTCTCTTTCAAATGGACTGCAGTCATGTGAAATTATAACTTTGACATCTTCTATGTCAAATCGCAATGTACTGCAATGTATTGCAATTCTTGTTCAATTGCTCAAATACTACAGCCGGATACTGTGCCTGGCATTTTCCTTTGTACTTTATTTGAGATAACTAAGTTTGTAAGCAGAACACCATTTTTCACCTCCATTGCATCCTGAGAGCATGATGTTATGGGTCTGGCTCGTGCTAGTAAAAATCTGCTCAGTTTGACCACTAGTGTTCTTGTCGTCGTTAATTTATCAAATGCTCCAGACTTTAATGAACTACACATCATTAAATCAGCATTAATGTTATTCTCACACTAGTCATTGACTGTGAAAAAAAAAATCCCTTAACACTTGTTTATTTTCTCCCCATTTCCCTCATATCTTCTTCTCATCGGCACATATGTTTGCACAAGCAGGCTTTTCAATTAGCATCTTTCTCACAGTGTGCACGAGATAACGCAAACCCAATTACACACAGCACGGCAGATAGAGCCTAATCCATTTACTGATACACACACACACACACACACACACACACACACACACAAACGCGCGCGCCTCAGGGGGGCCTCTTCCTTCTCACACACATTCACTGACACTATCTTAAGATGAGTGAATAGGAGCCCAGACAATGCAACACATATATTTACACACACAAAAACGGAGAATCAAACACTGACAGGGTCCTTTAGAAATGCTTTTCTTAACAGTCCAGCCTTTTGGAAGACTATGTGTGTCAAGCCAACATTAAGTCAACAGAGAGAGAGCGCTGACATACGGCAATGCGGCATACCTGCAGAGATGTGATGATAGGCTGCACCTGGTCTGCAAAGTGCACTGCAACTAGCTCTGCTGTCTTAGCTGAGTTAATGCTGACCAGATCCTGCAACAGAGAAACAATAACATACCAATGAGCATTCATAACATCAGCCAATCCACCAGAGGAGTATTTTCTTAGTATTAGTTGGGTCCTAAGGTCTACTAGCAAAAACATTTTTCCATTCTTCTTTATTACAAATATTATTGTTGGCATAACAATTTGAATTAAACGCTTCATCAAAACAAATATAATGTGAATTTCAGAATTTCGGTATGCTTTTTACAACCCTGTATAGCCTGACATATGAAGTAACAGCCTAACAAAAACAATTTCTTTATATATACACACACTACCAGTCAAAAGTTTTTGAACAGTAGGATTTTTTAATGTTTTTTAAAGAAGTCTCTCACCGAGCCTGCATTTATTTGATCCAAAGTACAGCGCAAAAAAAAATAATACAATTTTGAAAGATTTTTTTACTATTTAAAATAACAGTTTTCTATTTAAATATATTTTAAAATGTAATTTTTTCCTGTGATTTCAAAGCTGAATTTTTTGCATCATTACTCCAGTCTTCAGTGTCACATGATCCTTCAGAAATCATTCTAATATGTTGATTTGCTGTTCAGGAAACATTTATTATTATTATTATTATCATCACTACTTAAAACAGTTGAGTACATTAAGGTGTCATGTCAGTCTTATGCACACCCCTTCAAGTAAAGTGTAACCCTATTTACTTACACAAGCCTCACTTCTTCTGAACATGCTGTACATTTATTATTTATTATTACATTTGATTGCCTCTCTGTCTCCACATACTGTATTTTGATGCAGCTAAATTCTCAATAAAACGGTTTTCTGTTTCTGTTGTCAGACAACGGAATGAATATGAAATAGTGACTAAAACGTGACCCATTAAGACTACATAACCAGCTCTCCCTTCCAAGATGATAATCTGCACAAAAATCCTGATTTATAATCGAGCCATCGTCTGATAAAATCAAATAGGCTAGGCATAAGATAAAGACAATAGCTGAGCTGTGATTTTGGCTATACTTGCATGTAAAATTAGAGAAGCAACATAATATCTGGTTTAACTGAAAGCACTGCTCCTCTCCGCCGCTCACTGAAAATAGCAGACGCAGAGAGAGGTGCGTGCGCACTGGGAAAGAGAGAACTCGCGCTCGTGCGGCAGTATCGGCAAGTCTCCGAAACTAAATAAGGTTTAGGCAAACCCTAAAGATTTGTCGCTAGGTGCTTTTCTGGAAAAAATAAAATATATAATAGACGAGCTATATATATAATTATACGCGATATACGTATATCTGTTTATAATACACATTTTAAAATTGAATTGCATACCTTTTGCTGCCACAATAAAGACCCATTTCGAATGTTTACGTGCTTTTCTTCTCTTTTTGCTCCCAGTCGCTGTGCTGGAGCAGTTATGAAGTAACTGTTATTTTAAATACTTTCCAGCATTTCAGAAATAGGCTAAATATGTATGCAAATTACACTGAAGTAGGCTACAACTTTACCTTACGGTGTTCGGGAGTGCTCAAAAAGCGTTTAAACATGGAATTTTGAATCGATTTATTTGCGAAAACTCAGAGATGTGGATTCGGACGGCAATTAAATGACCACACGACCTTGGTGTTTGTCACAAAACAGTAGGTAATTTGGCCGAGGATTTTTACGGGGGTGGTGAGAGAAAAACGCCGACATCCTGGATTCGGACAGCATTAAAATCACCAACAACCCCTTGTAAATGGTGAAAATCACTTATGTCCCCCTGAGAAACAATTACCGTTCGAATAGGGCTTAAGGCTAAAATTTAAAATAGCTGACAAAATTAACACTACTTTTGACCCAATTTACAGCCTAGACAAGTCAACGCTAGCTGTCAGAGCCAGTCTTCAGATTTTGGACAGTTGGGAGTTATGGTGCATGATGGGCACAGATATTTTAGCTTCAGTCCATGATTCCATTCAGTTGAAAGCTGATTTTAGAAGACATATCATAGCGACATATGATAATGTACGATGTGCTTTACACTCAGGGTTAGTTCAAATATGATAAACAGAAGTTCAAACATGATTGTTTGACACACAAGAACCGATGAGGCTTGTTCTCATGTGTTACGCAAGCATATTTGAGCTTTGTGTTTGAGGTTTGTTCTCATGCATCAAGCTTCTGTTGACCATAGTGGATGTGCATCAATTTATGCGCGTTGATCATGTTTATATGTAAAATACCAGATTAAATTAAATCTGTTCATCCAGTAAAGCGATTGTGTCTCTTCAGTTGACTTCAGTAGATTTCTTTTACTATCTCTTCTTGAACTTTCCAAAAATAAGAAATTCTAAGAAATTCCAAAATCACCAAAACACCAACAGTTTTGGTGGACGGAGCTTTTAACCTTCTGGTGTTTTTCGGTCATTTTAGACCGAAAAAAATAATGTTTTGAATTTTCAAAAAATCACTACTTCATTGGATTGGTACGAAAATTGGTGACTTTTATGGCAGTCACTATGTGACCACAAAAAAAACTTGATTTGAAAAAGCTAAATGGTTGTTAAAAAAAATAGTCACCCTTGTGTTGTTCGCGGTCAAAAATGACCGCCATTGGAAATGAATGGGAAATACGCAAAAATACGAAAATACTGAGAATTTTTTGTGTGTACAATCTACAAATCATTCACGATGCAGAAAAAGAGTGCACAGCAATTAAGGAGTGACACTCTAAAATATCAAGAGTGCAAAATAGACACTCCGTCCACCCCCCACAGACACATATATGAACTAGTGTGACTGTAACTCAAAGCATGTTTCTGCAAATGCATGAAATAAAATCAATAATTCAGCCAAAAATGCAGTCAAAACACAGACACCAAGGAAGGGGTTACACACTAAAACATCAAGAGTACAAAACAGACACACACACTCAAACACACACTCACTTACACACACACACACACACACAACACACTATTATACACACACAAATGAACTGATGTGGCTGTACAATATGGCAAAATTGAGCCAGAAGGCTCAAATAAGAGGTTGAAATCAGATTGATTAATCTCTGATAAAGCATTTTTTGTAAAATTTTTGTTGAATTTTGATGTTATGTTACACAATGCCTTTTGTACAATCTACAAATCATTCACAATGCAGAAAAAGAGTGCACAGCAATTAAGGAGTGACACTCTAAAATATCAAGAGTGCAAAATAGACACTCCGTCCACCCCCCACAGACACATATATGAACTAGTGTGACTGTAACTCAAAGCATGTTTCTGCAAATGCATGAAATAAAATCAATAATTCAGCCAAAAATGCAGTCAAAACAAAGGAAGGAAGGAAGGGGTTACACACTAAAACATCAAGAGTACAAAACAGACACACACACTCAAACACACACTCACTTACACACACACACACACACACACACACACAACACACTATTATACACACACAAATGAACTGATGTGGCTGTACAATATGGCAAAATTGAGCCAGAAGGCTCAAATAAGAGGTTGAAATCAGATTGATTAATCTCTGATAAAGCATTCCTGTTCCTTTTTGTAACATTTTTGTTGAATTTTGATGTTATGTTACACAATGCCTTTCTCTGTGTTCAGGTTTGACTGTAGTAAAATTAATGCAAAAACTAACATTTCAAACCATAATTTCAAACAAAAAAAATCTAAACCTTTACAAAAAGATATATCCAGATCCACAACTTAATAAAAATAAGTATTTATGCCTAAAAACAACTAGAGAATTTATAAGCCTTTTATATAGCGCTATATAGGAATTTAGTGGCTAAACTTCTTTTTTTACTCCAACCAGATCACACTAATCTGACTTCAAAAATTGGATTTTAAAGGCATCGTTTCTATTTAACATGAAATACTGCCATAATTGAAAAGTAATAGCAAAATCTTATCATTTTTTTTTTCAGTGGGAAAAAATTTATCATAATTATTGCATAAATATTCATTAGTACCATGAAATTCTCTCAAAATACAAAATAAAAAATATTATGGAAATAAAATATATTACACTGATTTTACTGAAAAATAAATAAGTGTTACTCCCAAACAGGGCCGGAGTGGGACTCATTTTGGAGTTTCATGCCATAGACCGGCCCACTTATTTATTTATTTTTTTACTGGCCTTTTCAGTGCCACATTTGCGCTTTCTACTATCCATTTTTCATCTATTATTTTTTGCTTGCATATCTCCAACAACTGACTTTTTTTTTTTTTTGAGCAAGGTGCCGCTGTCAGGGGAGTCAAAAGATAATTACGTCATCATTAGGGTTGCCAATTAACTTCAGAAATGGAAAATAAGGGACAATTGTGACTCTTTATCTTTTATTCTTTAAGAAAATAGTGTTTATTCTTGTATTCTTGTAGAAAATAAGTGTTTGTTCTTTAAGAAAATAAGGGACAGAATAAGGGACGCTCCAAATATGTGTACTGTACCATAATGTATGTCTGCCTGCAGTCAAATAGTTCTCAGAAATAATCACAATTGTTTTGCTTAAACTATGTACAATTATTCTAAAAATAATTTTAATGTCATACAAAAAATGTCATCGGCCTGAGTAAATTGTACCAATATAGAATTGTGACTTCACAAGTGTAGTAAGTTAGGAGGTGAAAATACTGTGAAATTAAAATGGCATGAAATTTGAAAAGCGGCATTTACTACACAGAGCCGTTGTTCACTGACAAGCTACATAAAATCACGTTTATAATCGGCAATGAACCGCCTGCGATTTTTTGAACGCGATTTTGTGTAGCTTGTCAGTGAACTATGGCTCTGTGTAGAAAATCCCTCTCCATCTGAACGCACGTGCTGGAGATTTACTACTAATCACAGGAGCGGCTTTACTGACCGCATTCGATTTTTTGCACAGCCCTAACTGAAGCTCTATGAAACTTCAGTCAATAAAGCATTTTAAACAATGGCATTTAAAGTTTTGAACTAAAAAATCATTGCAACCATATGTGACCCTGGAGCACAAAACCAGTCTTAAGTTGCTGGGG